GAGGCATGGGTCCCTGGCAACGGGCCTACGGAGACATCAAGAATCAGCCATATGACCACATCTGGAGTGGCCTCGGCCACTTTTTCTATTCCCAAGGGATTTGTAGTCTCTCGGAGGTAAAAACTGATTATAAGGGATTTTCTTTTCCATTATTTTACTTGAACATAATATTTTAAATATTATTATAGACTATTTGAAAAGTCTAGACTAAAGAAAAGAATCACATATCATACCACTGCCTGGATGTAAATACTGATTTTGGTGTATTTCTCTCTAGTCTTTCTCATGTAAAACAAACAAACAAAAATGTGCGTAGCCACACACACGTTTACAGGCTCGTTCTAAAATACCAGAATTTGGATCACACTGTCCAATGGCGGTATTTCTTCTCTTGGATCTTAAAACATTCTATCTGCTCAGTGAAAAAAAAAAATCAAGCATGTTAATATTTTGGTGTGTATATTTTTATGAGACAGATCTATTTTCAGTTCGATATATCACATCCTTCCCAAAATTTTATACCAAATGGAGATGATAACACAAGACCATACTAATGCACGTCTGTCATCTCATTCTCCTGGAATCTACTAGGTGGTAGTGTTGGCCACTGTATTCACACCCATGTTCTCTACTTTGCCTTCCCTCTCTGCACGTGCACATAGTTTTCCCTTCCTCCCTGAAGCATTCGAACATTTGTTGCAGGCTTATTGTCACTTAACCTCCAACAATTTCAGCATGTCCCTTCTGAAAGCAGCGTTCTTTTACCTAACCACAGTAATGTTACATGACATTGCATCAATAGTAATCGCCCGATGTATGGTTCATAAGGAGCCCCAGTAGCGCGATGATTGTTTGACGGCTCCCTCAAGAGTTGTTGGTTCAAACCTACCCAGTGAGTCCATGGGAGCGACACCTGGTGATCTGCAGGTCCACCCTGTCCTGTGTCACTGTGAGTCTGCGTCAACTCCGTGGCACATTAACAGCTTCACATTCTCCTGGGTCAAGCGGCCCGGTGGTCAACGGGACCGTTCTGACTGTTCTCCTCATGATCACATTCACGTGGGGAGCCTGCATCCGGCAAACATTCCTTTGCTTCCGTCACCTAGCTTAGGGTAGTACTAATGGGACAGTTGGTAGTAATACGTGCACGAACATTCGTGTTTCTCCTTCCATCTAGTGGGTTGAGGCTAGAGGTTGCTGCCTAACAGCCCGCAGCACAGAGGATGGCCCTGATAATAATGATTTGGCCCAAAAGGTGTGGTTACCCTAAGAATCGTCCTTTGCCTTGCTCTGTTTTCATGACTCTGACGGTTTTCGAAGAGTCTGGCCTAGTCTCCTGTACACTGTCCCATCATCTGAATTCATCTCACGGTTTCCTTATCATGTCGTCGGTGGTTGGCAAGCATTGCTGGACGTTGGAATCCCTTTGGAAACCTTTAAAATCATCCAGGTCTTCAGGCTGCACCCCAGGCCAGTTCAACCACAGTGCCTCGGGAGAGGGACCAAGCGTGAATGGCGCTTCCAAAGTGCAAAACTGTTTGGCCACCACTGGTTTAGATTACTTATATTTAGTGGGGTGGGTATGAATTCTAAATAAAGGATATTGTTTGCTTTCCACAGTTTCCCATATAGAGGCTCCTCGGGCTAATGTGTCCAGATCTGGGTGGTGGTGCGGAATGTAACCACCTTCCACTGTACCGGGCCTTTCTGGTAACGAGGAAGTCCCCTGAGGAAGTCCCCTGCGGGTGTGCATCACGTCCTGGTCAGTGCCTGTAGCATGAGCACAGGCTCCTGTTGGTGGCCATACAGATTGAGTCGTGTTTTCTGCTCCTATTTATGACAATGCCAAGAAGGACCTTATACGTCTACTCTGATGGCGTAGTGGCGTACGTTTTTCCTTGGGGTAAATTTTGAGGCAGAAGCTGTTAGAAGGACCCATTTGTTGCCAAGCCCCAAGTTGGCACAGTGGCTTGCGAGCCATGAATATTACTTTAATGTCCTTTTCTTGCTTGTGTGTTTGATTCGTAATCTCGAGGCTGAGGGAAATGGTTTTCTTGCCCAGAATGGGTGCGTACACAGCCTCTGCTTCCAGGACGGGCACTAGTGTGGAGGTTGAGGCAGTGCAGTCTGGTTGAGCTGGGCTTGTGTTTTGTTGTTGCTGCCAGTACCTTCTTTCTGTGCATCGCAGACAGTGGGGCTTCTGGGGGTGCTGAGGTATTCTGGGGCTCTTTCCGAGTTCCTGATCTCCCTCTGTGCCTCAGAAGAGGGTCTCTCCATACGCTTTCTCCCCCAGCACCAGGCTGCGCTGGCTCGTTGCTCCTTGCCACACTGGGGGCTCCCCTTTTAGTTCCGTTTAGGCAGGCTTGCACATGATGGGCTTTGGAGGTGGTGCTACCCCCATGGCAGCCACATTCTGCCTTGTACCTGTGGAGATCTTGTTGGGAAATCATCTTCTGCTTCTTGCCCAGGGGTACCAGATTTCTGCTGCGATCAGGGTGGGGTGCTTAGCTGAGAGGGTTCACTGCCCCTTTCCCTGGGCCAGACTGTTCTTGGTTTTGACGGGGGACAAGGTTGGGCGTGGAGGGTAAGGGATTTACTGTCCTCCCTCGGGGGTAGATGGCTTTTGCTTCTGCACAACCTCCCACAAGCAGTTTACTTCTCCCTAGGAATTAGGTGGTGGAAGCGGGGAAAGACTGGTTTCAACCCTGCCCAGTGCAAAACTATCAGGCCTTTGTTTCATAAACAGGTGGATAGGGAAGTGGCTGGGGTTTCTGTACCACCAAAGAGGCTCTCTCAGGCCTCTGTCTTCCATCTTCTCCACTGCCTCCAGTGGAGACCTGTGGACCAGAGCTTGTGAGTGAATGCAAATTACAGACTGCCCATGGCTCTCAAAGGTTCTCAGCTGTGTCACACAAGCTCAGCGCTGCCATATAAGCAGTTATTAATGTGTAGCTTATTATTAATTCAGTAGCTGCCCACATCCTTACAGGTCCTGCAAAAGGTGCCGTAGTCTATGTGCCCAGTCTTTCTGCAGAGGATCTTACTGCCTTCTGGGGATTCAGTCTGCTGTAGGCTGAAGCTGGTTCTTGCTCACAAAATCGGGCTGCATGTGTCTTCCTAGTGCTGTGTTCAATAGCACCCCAGTAAACCAACCCAACTCAACGGCCATCGAGTTGATGCCGGCCAACTCATAATGACCCTAGTGGACAGAGTGGAACTGCTCCTGTGGACTTCCAAGGCTATAACTGCTTAGTGGGTTAGAAAGCCACCTCATTCTTCCATGGAACTGCAAGTGGACTGATTCTAACTCGGTGGTTAATAGCCCAAGACACAATCCACTGTGCCTCCAGGGCGCCTCACACTACCAGCACCACATCCATAGAGGGAAATTGGCCGTGGTTGGAGTATTTACACCACAGATCTTGGCAAGTACTTTCAATCAGTACCGCCCATTCTCCACTGAAAATAAGGTATTAAATACACCAGCCCCCTACTGAGTTCACCTCACTGGCTTGTCTCCAGACATCAGCTCTTTGAGCTCAAGAAAAAAAAATTCCTGGCTTTTGTTATTGTTGTTGTTGCCAGCATGGGAATGTTGGGATCTCTTTAATTTTCTGCATCCTAAGCAGAAGTGGAACTCCTAATGTGTTTTTCTCTGTCTGTTTTGAGACATAGTGAAGTAGAACCGTTTATTCAAGTTAATTAGCCATTAGAATTCCTTCTTTCCGAGAGATGATGTTAAAAGGTGAGGCAAGTAGTGAATTGTAGTCTCTAGAGAGACTGGGATGAGCCACAGGAGATAAAAGCAATAGGGCAGCGTGTCCTCTGTGACTAAGCTGAACCCCCCAGGGGAGTCTGACATTGGCGGTGTAGGAGAGAACCTAACGAGAAGAAGCGGAACCATGGGGGGTGTCAGATCTTTCGTGGTGTGTCAGCGGGGACACTTGACCTCAACCCCAACCATATGGTGAGTCTCTAGGGTCTGCGCCCCCTTCTCACCACTGTGCCGCTCTGTGCAGCAGGGAAGAGGTGGAAATGCAGAAGCTGTTGAAACTAATTGCTTTCCCATAATGCCTAATGGGTCCTCAGGCAGGATTTTGTCAGTGGAGAAACTCGTGGAAAAAAAGCTTTCCACAACCATTTCTCAAGCAGACATCTGCTGTGGAGTTACCGAGTCTACAGAGGGACACCAGAAGACAAATGGGGTGCGTTCACACTGTAGGCAGCAGGTTTTCTGTACTGGGCCTCGGCTCATCCCCACTGCAGAGCAGTCACGTCACTCAGTGGGTATGAAGGATAAGGAGCCCTGGTGGCTCAGTGGTTAAGCACTCAGCTGCCAACTGGCAAAGGTCTGCAGTCAGAACTCACCGGGAGAGAGTGGGCCTCTGCCTTTGCCTCCGAAACCCTCTGGGCCAGTTCGACAGCCCCGTCGGGTCTGTGTGAGTCAGAATTGATTTGATGGCAATGGGTTTGGATGGTTTTATGATAAAGGTAATAGTAAATTGTAACTGGCTGCTGCTTAAGTTATCTGTGACAGATTTTGAATCATTTCCTGTTCTCCACCCCGCCTCCGCCTACCCAGAGTCAGCTGTTAGCTTACCTTAGGCCACGCCTTCGGAAAGCAAAGCAGCCAGCACTGAACTCTCCCCGCTAGAATGGTGTTTGACGCTGTCTAACGGATTTTTCATGCATAGTGACCGTCCCCAGGTGAGAGTAGCGGTGCCCTCACACAGTTTTCTCAGCTGTGATTCTCAAGGAAACAAATTGTCAGGTCTGTCTCCTTATGGAGCCATTTGGTAGGCTTGAACCGCCAGCCTTTCGATTAGTAGCTAAGCACTGAACTCGATAACAGGGTTCCTTGGGCTTACCTTTTATTTGTGCTAGCATTTCTTCCATTCACATGAACAGCCCGAGTACACTCAGCCTCTGTAGAAATCGTAGGTAGCTTTCCACAACCATTTCTCAAGCAGACATCTTCTCCCTCTCTCCCATCCCAACAGGTATACAATAAAAGGCATTAGGAACCTGATTTTCTATGAACTGCCGACGTATCCCCACTTCTACAGTGAGGTCTGTAACATGCTGAAGGCCGCCAGCAGAGGAGAGGAAGCCACGTGGACCTGTACTGTTCTCTACTCCAAGTACGATGCCCAGAGGCTCGCAGCTGTGGTTGGCGTGGAGCGGGCAGCGCAGATGCTACAGTCCAAGAAGAATGTCCACCTCTTTATTACTGGAGAAAAATGAAGCAGGACATGGCATCTGTTAAGATGCTCATCTATAATGCTCAATTGTGTGCCATTTGGACCCTCACCCAATCCTGATGAGTCATACAGGAGAGGGATTGATGTAAGAAAAGGTCGTCAGACAGCATCAGGGTTACCTGATAGATTACTTCTCCTCAGGCCTTGTGTTCCTGAGGAGTTAAACGTAAACCGATTTTGGTACGTCACGGCTGTCGGAGTTCAGAAAGGACTAGAAGGACTCTGAAGTTAGCAGGAGAAACCTCTATGTGTGATTCATTCCGTGCGCCATAAATTATTTTATCATGATTTGACCTCTCTGACACGTCTTTAAAATACAGCACATACGTCATTGCTTTTAAGAACTGGCTTTGAAAAGTTGGAATACAACTACCTTAATAGTGGCTTAATTTGGGATCAAATTTGCAAAATTGTTTTCCCCCAGTCAAGCTTTTTTTTAACTGACAAAATTCTAGTATCATGTAACCTTTGAAATTACTCACTTTTTTTTTAATCTACTCACTAATTAGCAGTAATATTAATTATAGCATTATTAAGTATTTTGGTTTGGTTTAAAATGCATGCTTATAATCATGTTGGTTATAGGCTAAAATAATTTTGTTCAAAATTATTACATCCATCTTAAACAATGTTTTCATCTCAGCCGTGTTTTGTTTTTTTTCTTCAGTCATGTAACAGTTCAAAGTGAAGAAGAGATTGTTTTAAATGTAGCTCTTTCAAACACATTTTTATTTGGAAACATTTGCAGACGTACTAAAAAGTTACAAGTACAGAAGAAAGACCTGTATTCTTTATGAACAACTGGAGGGCAAATTGCCAGCCTGATGGGCTTATCACCTTCAGGTGCTTTAGTGAATATTTTCTATAAACAAGAACGTTCTCCCGTGTCACCCCAATGCAACCATCAAAATCAGGACTTTCCCATTGATACCTTTTTGCCACCGTAATCCTTGGAGGCTATCCCAGTTCTGCCAAATGCCCCCAGATAACAGAAGGAAGCAGGTCACGATGTCTCTTAGTAGCCTCTACTGCAGACTGGTCACCCCAGTTTTCACCAGCTTTGATGGCCTTTGAAAATCACAGGTCGGTTATTTTGCCGGCTGTTGTTTCCCCTGGTGGTTAGATTCAGGTTATGCCATGCTGGGCAGGAAACTCACCAAAGCGATGCAGTGTCCATGGTGCATCCCTCCAGCTGCCATGACTGTAGCCACCCATGGCTGATAGATACTGCTGGCTCGAGTACCTGCTTACAACGGTATTGCACTTCTTTTGATTATATCTGTACGAAGCACACCAGTTTCCCTTTTGATTGAATGGGTTAAGACCCATGACTACCATTATCTCATCAGATGCCTAAATGATCTTAAATATGGCCGCTGGGAGCATCTTCAAGCTGGCTCCTGTATCTTTTTTCTTTTCTTTTAATGGTGCAAATGTATATGACAGACATGCCACTCCACAGTTTCTACAGCTACAATTCAGTGGCCTTGATGCTATTCTTCAAGTTGTGCAACCGTTCTTGCTCTCCTTTTGTGAATGATCCCATTGCTGTGAACATAAACTCAGTGTCCTGTGTCCTGGGAGCATTTCTGTGCCTTTTCTTTCTTCCTTACAGAAGGCACTTCAGGTTCCTCTTTACTTTCCAGACCCCAGCCTTTCGGTGGGAAATTATGGTTAAAGCCAGGATTTGTGTGGTGGGCGTGCTCTTCCCTGTGGCACTCCTGGCCCGAGTCCTCCGAGCTGGAGAAGAAGCGCACGTGTATGTGTGCACACCAAACACAAGAGAGCTTTTTACAAGTTCCCGCAAAGATGGGACTGAAAGAATTCCCTCACCAACCTTTTGAAGTTCCTTCATATACTTCCAACAGTGGACCCATTCACATTTAAATTTATTTTCATATCTGTATATTGACGACTTCCAACTCCAGTCCCGCGTTGTTTCTCTCCCTTCCCATGCTGGCACCCCCTTCTCGGGAGAAACCTGGCTCCTTTCATCAAAGACAACCCTGAGCTGTACAGATTACCTTCTACTGCTCAGCTCTGCCACTGAATCAAGGCTGACTCAGCCACCCCTGCCGGCTTCCGACGCTATACCTGTTTACGGGAATAGAAGGCCCAATCTTTCTTCCGTGGAGCTGCTGCTGGTGGTTTCAAACCGCTGGCCATGCGGATCGTGCCCCAACCCGTAACCACTACCCCACCAAGGCACCGATCACCTATCCAAAGAATAAGTCACTGATGGGATAGTCTTCCTGCTTAATGTTTTTTTAATTTCTCTCCTTTCTCATCATAAGGATCAGGATCCCTGGTGGCATAATGGTTTATGAGTTGGGCTGCTACCAGCAGGGTCAGCCACTCAAACCCCTCTGGGGCTCTGGGGGAACAACAGGCGGTGAACAGCCCCAGAGCCCCGCGGGGTGGTTCTACTCAGTTGTATAGGGTCACGATGAGTTGGACTTGAGTCGATGGCAGTGAGTGTGTTCTTCCAGCAACTAGAATCCTTGATTAAATATTATAGATGAATTTGATCATAGATTGAATTGTGTCCCCCACCCCTCCAAATACGTGCCTATTTGGCAGGACCACGATTTTCTGGTGTGCCAGTTATGTCATGGTCCCCTATGGTGAGATCTGATTTAGTAGCCAAGCAGTTGTAAGAGGATTCAGTAAGGGTGAGCGTCCTCAACAAGGTGGATTAACGCAGTGGCTGCCACAATGGGCTCGGGCATGGGAGCAATTGTGAGGATGGTGCTAGGCTGGCACAGTGTTTCATTCTATTGTGCACAGGGTCACTGTGCGTTAGAGCCAACTCCCCCCTAACAACAGCCCTGATCTGGTGTAAGAGGAGTTGCCCTGGGGCCTGGCCTGCCTTGGGACTTTCGGTCCCAGCTTGCCCCAGGGGAAGATCTGGGCCAAGGCACATGAAGATCTCCGAAGAATGCCAGGCCTATAGATGAGGCCCTGCTGCTAGACAGAGCAGGCCCTCTGATTCGGGCCTCTAGCTTCCTCCACTGACAGCACCTGTGATATTCCTGTTTCAGCAGCACTAGGTGAATCAGGTTCCTAAATTCCAGAAAAGTTAGATCATGAGCATACAGCACCAAACTCTTCCTACAAAGAGCTTTTTATATTCACAGATGTGGCCTGTGTTTGTTGCCATATTGGTGCTGCTGTTTGAGAGGCTGTCTGATGACAAAAGAAAGGAGCTTTTCTGCCTGGTTCAGAGATAGGCAGACGAGGAGGAAGAGACTGATTACCCCCATCTTCCATTTCCATACTCCTTCTCCCCGCCCCCCAGCTGAATTGTAGCTAACAATCTCTTGGTTTGATGCTCACTGTTCACACACTCTGAAATCTGACTTCTCTGGATCTCCACTGGTGTGTGAGCCTGTATTTCACATCTTCCCAGATGTAACCTCAGGAGTCTGCATTTGAAGGAAGCGCCCCTAGGGATGTGGATGCTGGCTTATAGCCAAACCTGGCCCCAGAGAACACTGGAGATTTCGAGTGTGAACAATGTAGTATTGCTTTTGTTCTTGGCTCGGCACCTGGGAAAGAAGGTAAGCTTGGGCTGTTGGCCCTGGCTCTTGAGTTGATTACAGACTTGAGTCTCTGCAGTGGTTTCCTTAAAAGGATGCCTTGTTCACATCCATTCTCTCCCATGCACACAGAATAAGGGGGAGAGAATAGGCCACTGGACTATGGATAATACATGAGCTGGAATTACATACTTTGGATAGTTCTCAGCAAGGCCCAGTTGCAGCCAGCAAATGCCTATGGGACTAGACACTGAATCAAGAAATGGACCCACTCCCTGGAAGCGGTGAAATTATAAGGTGGAGAAGGTACTTACCAGAAAGTTAAGACTTTAATGTGCCGCTTCTTTCCCCACCCCCCTTCTTCCCCATAGTAAAAACTAGCTTAGCACTTTTGTTTCTGAGGGGAGAAAGTCTTACACTGAGAATGCTTCCCACAGCTGGCTGCACCATATGCAATATTCAAAAAACAAGAACAAGCTAATCATAGAGCAGCAGCAGCCACAAAACAGCTCTCTGCTGGCTCCCCAAGGGCTTATAATTGAGTGCAGATGGCCCCGGCAGGGGTGGGGAGTGTGTCCCTGCTGACTCCTCACCCCAAAGGGCCAGAGTGGGGGGCAGTTCAGGAAGACTCTCACCCTGTTGTGCCCTGTTGTGGGAAGAGACGGCCAAGCAGGTGGTGCCAGCGCCTGCCGGCTTTCTTCTGCCCAGCCTTTCTTAGGCCACAGGAGCAGAGCTTCAGGCTGCCTGATGTCGATTGGACCCGGCTGGGGTCTCCGGATCGCAGAGGGCCTGGGGTGAGGCAGCCGGAGTTGGGAGTTGGCTGTGATCCGCTGAAGGGTCTCCTTGTTTTGGGCCGCCCGCAGGTGACTGGCTGTGGGGGCTGAGCCTTCCTGGAGGAGAATTGGAGCCTGGTGTGGGATGCCTAGACTGGGCCGCCTTGGGGTCCAGGCAGTGAACCCAAGTCCTCCCTCCAGCCTTCCACTCCCCACCTTCAAAGGCAGTGATTTCCAGTCTGTTCCAAACTTCTCATTTCAAACAGCTTTTCCGGACGCCTGGGTAAACAGAATTCTAGGCAAATGTCAGTCAGCTTTCAATAACTGCATGAGGAGTAGATACACAAACTAATCCAAAATTGATGGGGTCTTTGGAGGTCACAGAAGAGCATTCGCCCGCTTGCCCCCCAGATCAGGCCCCCCTGCCCAAGTTAGTGGCTCTCCTTGGCTTGGTGGGCGCCTGCAGCTGTGCGCTTCCCCAGGCCTTCACCCATGATGCCCAGCAGATCCGTGTTAGTGCCTGAAAATGGCTACTTCCTCCTCCTCTACCATATGCTCACACTGAGTTCCTGTAAACGCTGTGCTTTTAAGGGCCTGCCTCAAGTTTCTGTTTCTCGGTTCCCTTTTATGAGGGCATGTGGGAAGGAGATGCTTCTGCTGGCTGCTGTGTGTGTTCCAGGAGCGCTCTCCACACTGGCCTTTCCACTCCCTCCAGGTAAATGCTGGGCTCCCCTCCCCCTGCCAGCCGCACTGGCATTGTTCCTGTGGGAGTCGAACCATTATAAGGCACAGGGAAGAACACGGGGCTCCAGGCCTTGGCCAAAAGCAAACAAAAAGAGCTACTTACCCCCCTCAGCATCTTGTCTTCAAAAGGAGTCCTGGCTGCGATGTGATCTCCACAGGCCTGGGTGCTGCTCAGAGAATTCTGAGTCTGTACTGGGGGTGGGTGGGGTGGGGGGGTGAGGCTTACAGGCAGAAAGCTCAACCCAGGTGTCACCCTCCAAGCTGGAGAAGCATCACTGCCTGATGTCACAAGAGATGGCACATTCCTATGCCAGTGGTCAGGTGGGAGGGTCCGCTGACGCTGGCCAGGAAGGCAGTAGCGCCTGCAGCTCGGCTGACTTGGAAGGCACTGAATCATTGCCCATCTGTTCTCCCAGCTGAGTCAAGACCAAAGCTGCCTTCCTCTTGCCAACCCCTGGAATGACACTGCACCACCATCCAAGGCATGGGTCCCACTGTCCTGCAGCCGGCATCCTCACGGACCTCGCCTGCCTCTCGCCTGCCAGTCGGACTCCCCAGGGAGAGCTGGCCCTGGGCACACAGCTGGGGTCTGCCCACAGATGTGCCTGGCTTCCTGCCTTCCCTGTTCTCCGTTAGGTTGTCAGCGAGCCCTCAGCTGGGTGCTGGGCCAGGCATCCCCACTGATATGCTCTGAGGCTCTGAGCAGGTCCCCACGGCTGCTTCTCAATTTTCTCATCTTGAAAGACAGTAATCCTCCCTGTTCTTACTCTCAGGGACACAGTGCGGGAACGTGCTAGTTGTTTGCCCAGCATCCACTACTTCCCTGGCCACAAAATGCTGGGTTTTATTGGGTGACAAAAACCAAACCCGTTACCGTTTAGTTGATTCTGATTCCCCACGTGTTGCAGAACATAACTGCATCCCATAGGGTTGTCAGTGGTGGGTTTTTTGTTTCCTCCAGAAGTAGAGCTCCATTGTCCCCCCTCCCTTTTTATTGTGAAATAGGTGACGGTTTACAGAGCAGATCATCAGTTTTCCATTCATCAACTCCTACACATTTTGTTTCAACTCATCCCTTCAGCACAGCACCACTTACCCCAGTTCCTCTGTTTCCGCTTCCATGCCCCCGCTGTCTCTCACTCTCTGCACTTTGTCCGTGGGTAAATGCTGCCTTTGGATCTTAAATGGCTGATTGTTCTAACATAGGGATGAAGTCAATTGCTGCCCTGAAGGATGACTAAAGGCTAGGGTCTCCGAGCTGGGATCCCAGCTACCACGACCAACTGCCCTAAAAGGGATGGCATCAGATGGTTCTTGAATGGGAGGAAAATGTGGAACAAAATCCAAAATCGTACAAGAGGCCAGGCTTACTGATTGGCTAGAGACTGGCAAAAGCTCCGAGACCCTAGCCTTTCGTCATCCTTCAGGGCTGGAACTGAATTCATCCCTATGTTGTTCAGATTTCGTCTCTTGAATGACTAATGGTGGCAAGCATCTCATCTTTCTCAGCTTGAAGGGT